AATTTGTTGAAAGAGCATCCCTTTGGATGCTCTTTCAACAAATAATCCATTTAATGGTTAAATTTTGCTTTACCTTTTGCAAATTATTGGTCGAATCTGGACTATTGGTCCAGATTCGACCAATCTTGTCGCTACAGGAGTCGGCGACGACGTTTTACGAGTCACTTTATACGAATACTGCTACAATTTTTTCGCTACATTATAGGAATTTCTGTTATAGGAACACACGTTATAGGGGGGGTCGACTGTACAAAACTATTTATCATAACTGAAGGTATCATAACTGTACCTTTTGCCCTGTATTTAGTTTTGTTTTATTTATTGTTTTATATTTTGTGTGCACTATTTCTTATAGGAGAGGGAGGGGGCCCAGTAAGAGGAAAATGTCTAGGGCCTAAAGTGGGTTAATCCAGTCCTGTACCCCAGCTGAAGTCCAAGTAATAATGCTATAACTTTGAAATTACAACACACCTTCCATTTATGTTCTTGATAATTTACTTTTGCAAGAAGTTGCTTCATACTTTTGTATGATTCTTTCATGTACTTTTCATGGCTGATATGAATAGAAAGCTTTTGTTACACAACAAAAACAAAATATCTTTAAGGCTCACGTTGGAGGAGTCAATGAAGAGTCTCCATTCTCATTGTTTGCAGCATATATTGAGAGCTGTCGTAAGAATGATTGTTTTCTTTTCTTTCCATAGACATTCAAGAAAATGTACTTTAAGCTGTATAGGAATACATTTCAAGAACTATAGAAAAATGGCAATTTTTCCAGAAATTTGACATATTTGGTTCAAAATCTTAAAAATTAGAGCCAAGTTAACGTTTTTATTGTCATATTCATATTCAGCACTCTTGAATTAGTAATATTTAGTTATTTCGCTTTTGGAAGCTTTTTGGCTGTTGACCAGTGTAATCAGCTATTATGTGTAATTGTTCTCACTTTTACTGTAATACATCACATTGATTCATAAAGAGCACAAAACTAGTATCAACATTTCCAAATATAGAAATATTATTGTGGATATATTTAACTTTGCCTATATCAAATGCATCTGGTGAAAGGTCATTCTCAGTATTAATTAAAACGTGTAAAAAATTATATACGAAACTCACTGAGTGAATCAAAATTAAACTCTTTAGCTTTTTATACATCAAACAAAATGCTTTGGATAATATTAATTATGATGAAATAATTGATAATTTTGCTGAATTAAAGACTAAAAAACAGAATTTTTAAATAAAGTTTATTCATATTGATATACTTACTTTTTTAAAACTATCTTGGCTTTTATTTAAATTATCTTTTTCATTATTCAATTTGCTTTCCATGGGTAAAATATTATATTATTTAAATATTAACCAAAAAGGTTAAATTAAACAATTAATATTTTAATGTAATATTGTTATTGTGTAACAACTTTTGTTAGACATTTAATAAAATAAATTTCAATTTTTTTTGTCCTTGTTGTTGCCGTCAGATATGTTTGTATGACGAATTTTAAAAATTTCATCAATATCTTTCAAAACAGACAGTTTAACCGGGCCCTGCTAAAAACTGAGCCCTAGACATTTGTCTATGCGATGATCCTGCTCTGCTGGGGTATACAAAGTATTGTTGTTTTCTCTGTGAGAAGGATAGCAGAGATAGAGCAGCACATTTCAAAAGGAGAGACTGACCATACAGGAAATTCCTTGAACCTGTATCAAAAAATGTTATTTCTGAACTGTTAGTAAAATGCAGCTCAATCACACTACCATCATTGCATATAAAATTAGGACTTATGGAAAAAATTTGTCAAAACCATAGATCGAAATGGCCCAGAATTTAATTTTTAGAGAGACATTTCCAAACATTAGTGAGGTAAAAGTTAGAGGGGATATTTGTAGGTCCATAGATTTCCAAGCTTCTCAAAAATACACACTTTGATAGCGTACTAGTAGGTGCTGGAAAATAAGCTTGGAATGCTTTCAGGATGGTGGTAAACAATTTTCTTGGAAATCATAAAGTTTCTAATTACAAACAAGAAATTACATTTTTTAATTATTATGCCTTTTTGTCCTTTTTAACTATTTATAATTTATTTTGTATACTAGTACTTTCTAAGAAATTACAAATTACAAACAACATGCTGTCGTGTTATGAAAAGATGGTATGCAACATGTCATTGAAAATGCACAAATGACTTTTTGCATCCTCACATTGACTTTTTCCCTGAAAACTGCAGGTCTGTCAGTGACAAACATGGGAAGCATTTTCACCAAGATGTTGCTTGTATGGAAAAGTGATACCAAGGGAAATAGAGCCCGGCAATGTTAGCAGACTACTGCTGGAACATTACATGTGAAATGCTTGCAGATTTATACAAGTCTGTAAATAAGTGTCATACATGCAAGTGATATTCTGGGTATTTTATGCTTCCACTATTTATTTATTGATAGTTTTTATATATCAAAAAGTGTTCTGATGGTTTCTGTGTTCCAACTCTAATGAAAATTACATTATGTGTATGTATTCAGATGTATATTATGCAATTTATTAAACATTGATGTACCCTGTAAACTTGAGCCAATTCTGGTTTTTTTATAGCCATTTTTGAATTCATCAAGTCAAAATCATTAAGAAACATTGTTTCTTAATGATTTTGAAAACTTTGTTTCCAAAGAAAACAAAGTTTTTATTTGTAGACCCGTGTTATTATGCATAATTATCAATCATCTTACTGACTGATAAATTTCACTAAATTTCAAACTTTTACCAGCAATTTTACGTAATTCCCGAAATGATGTTTATCAAATTTATAAAGTACATGAAATTTCTTACCTTTTGTTCTTTTAATAAAGTACAGTAGATTCCCCCTATAACATGGTAGATACATTCCGTGTTTTATGAATTCCATGTTGTACGAATCACTTAAATACATGAGCCAATCACAGCCCAGCACATATGCAGTTTAGGGACTATGGCTGTTTGAACGGTTTTCTTCCATAAAATTAATCGATTCTAGACTAATTTCACTCAACATTTCCAAAACATGTATAATTTTTTGGGAATAATCCATATAAACTATGCTATAAACAAAAAATTGTAGGATTACTTACCGAGTGTGCACCGTTCGATGATGCCATTACTTAAGCTTATTTTCGTCGTGGAGCAGCACATCGAACGGCGGGCACGTGTTTCCTGATAAGTTATTTTTCTGCGAAAAATTCACTGAACTTTGGAGATATCATTAATATAAATATAATTTTTATGGCCGTTAAATAATAAATGGTTTTTAGTAGGTTTACTGCTTGTTTAAACTCAACGGTTTGTGCAATATCTGCTATTAGTCTAGATTCGACCAATCCAAGTCGCGACATGAGTCGGCGATGATGTTTTACTGTATTATACGAGTCTTTTTTAGTGTTTATACGAATACAATCGCAATTTTTTTTGCTGTTTTATACAAATCCGTATTATATGAACCCAAGTTACAGGGGGGGTCTACTGTAACATGAATTTTAACAAATTTTAATAAAATGAATCAAAAACACATTTTTTGTATTATTATTATTATTAGAATGATTTAATCAATATAAAGAAACTAAGAAAAATCCATTTCAGCTTAATATTAGAATTGTGTGTACAAAAATATCAAAAAATTTGTTGGGAGAAAATATGCTACTGCTTATTCAAACATGGCAAACTATCATGACATTTTGAGTTATGTAATTTTTCATCTTCCTTGAATCTGCATTTTGTTGAATTACACTCTTCTTTACATGAGTACCTTTGGTACCCATCACCTTCTGAAATTGATGTTTTTTTTGTGCATTCCCTTTGAGAAAGAGTAATACTTGATACACACTATTGTAAGAAATTGTTTGTCACATAGCACAAACTAGTTTCTGGTATACAAGTGTGAAAGACATCCTCCTTTGTTTCCAAGTTATCATTTTTAGTAGCTAGTATTACTGCCAATATATTCTGCAGATTGCCTCTTTCCCTGTCCACATCTGGTATTCTTAGCTTCATTATATTTCCTACTTTGGCTACAGTAAACTTCAACTCTGATATTTTATTCATTTCAGCTTCTAAACCTGTCTTTGTGTTCACTTGCTTCTACTCAACTTCTTCCTTTCTGTTCTTCGTTGTGGAAAGACTGATCACTTCTATACTAGACTACTTTGTTTGACGAATCAGGGATAATCTATAGATCAGTCAGTCAACCTGATGTCACATCAGGTTGACTGACTGATTGGTGGCTGTTCATTTTCAATACTTTTTCTGGAATATATTCATTGGGTCCTTGTAGTTGACATTGATTTTGATGTAGTGATTCAATTATTTCTTATAGCTTCTTTTCGGTGGAAAGATTACTACAGCATCATAAAGAAAGTTGATGTCTTCAGCCCAACCTTTAAGAGTAAACCGAACATGGTTTCATAAGAACTACATTTAATGCTTTAATGATATGATATATTCTTCATGAGATGCATAAACTGTAATCCCTTCGTCCAGTGTTGGGTTTGGTTACTTTCTAACCAAGAGTTTCTTGACAAGAATGCATTATTTATCAAATTTACCATCCTAGACTGGCAATTACGCATAATGTCATAATGTCTGGTAAATTTGATTAAGTACGATTTATAATTACCATTATGAAGTGGTGAGTATGCATAATCACCAGTAAATGTAATTAATGTGCAAGATATGAAAGAAATTTATTGCATTTACTAAAATTATGTGAGATTCCAAGCTACAATTTTGTAAAAATCATTGTTTTATTATTTTAAGAAAAATAATTCTTTAAATAAAAGTTAACAAAAATGAAATTGTTGGAAAAATCAATAAGTATTATCACAAGATTCTCTCTGTGATAATACTTTTTCTAAACAACTCCTCTTCCTGGAGAGACAATTCACTGAGGGAAGTAGAGAGAAAATATGGGATTAGACAACAATAGTTTCCATCTAATATTACCATTTTTGAAAACATTCCAATCCAAAATGATGACTTGAGCTTTATAAAAATGGAAGAAAAGATCAAAAAGATCATCCAGTTCAGCCACCCAGGCCCATTCCCATTGGTGGTTGCAAGTCCATTTGATTAGCCAGTTCAGTCATCCCCAACCAATCCAACTGCCAGCAGATAACAGACACAAAGGAATAGAAATAGATAGTTATTGCCAATAAGGACAGATCCACATCAGAATGATCACCTTCTGAAGACATCAGTCATAGCATCAACAAGGTGTTTATCTACCTAGACCAAATATGAACACTATCTTTCTCAATTAGACAGAATTAGTTAATAATATAGTAACAGTTTTAAAAGGTCATTTATATTTGTATTTTTGATTATCCTATTATGAGTTATTATGTAATTGGAAATGCATTTAATGCTATTAAATAAATTGTTATTTTTATAGTTACTCTCCAAGTTGTGTGTATTACTTCCGGGATTTCCTGTCTCTCTTATTTCCCTCCTCTGTCCCACATATGGTGCCACTTTTGTATTGAAAAATGCACAATAATTATAGAAAAGGTTTCTCACACATTGATGATTATGCATAATCACTGGATTAATCACTTTTACATATACACTGTATAAATTATTTACAAAAAATAAAAAACAAAAGTTAAAGCTTATTATTCTTCTGTCATTGATTTCTTACTGGTCTTATAATTATTATATACATTGTAATCATAAGTACAAAATTTAGTGTTTATACTTTATATATTGCTAATATTTAGCTTTTATTTCTCAAACTTCATTATATTTAGATGTTCTTACTTAATCTAAATAAAATTTAAACTTTATATACTGACTTTATTTTCTTTTTGATTAAATCTTCTACTAAAACATTTTAAATGGCATTTTTTGTAGTATTTTCTATTTTTATTGCTGCTTTATATTTTTTAATTTCTCCTAAAAAATTATAAAGCACTATAACAGATAAGACTATTCAGATTTTGTCTTATTTTAAAATAATTTTCAACTTACCTTTTCAATTGGTATTACTAAAAATGCACCACCACCAGCAGTTTCAGTTACAACAGCAACAAATTTTGGATTAGCAGCACAAAAATAACTATCATGTGCATTTTTTGTAATTTTTATGCATTCATAACAGTTATCTTTACGAGCTGGACTACCGTATATGTGACGAAATTTACTTGTACGAACACCACGGAAAGAAATCTGAAAATTAAAAATAAAATCAATGTACAATGAACATCACAATTACTGATTTGATTCAAGTTAAATAATGGATAATTATTATGCTATATACACTACAAAGGAAAGTTAAATACAATCTAAACACACTCAACAGCAGAAACTATTGATTAACAACACTTCACACCTCTTATGCTTACTCCAGCACACAAAATTTAATAAACACAAAAATGTTTTCAGCTACTTTAAAGGGACTTCATCTGACAAAATAGCCATATTTGTACATCAAACAAGTTACAAAATATTTAAAGATGGATAGAATTAGTCAGTACTATTTTATAAATTGTATATCAAACTGAAAATTTGTAGAAGACTGACATTTTTAAAACTGATATTTTTTAGGTATCATGTTTCTGTTGACTGAACTTTGTTGACTTTTTTAAAATTATATGCAGCGGCGGCCTTATCCATTGCGAGGCTCTGGGCGGCAGATCTTTGCGAGGCCCTGGGCGGCAGATCTTTGCGAGGCCCTGGGCGGCAGATCTTTGCGAGGCCCTTGTCCTTTGTGCAAAGTATGTGAATTGAAATAGTAGGCACTTATTAATATATACTGTACTATAAATTTAATTTATTTTATTGTTATAACTAATAGCCAAGGATAAAATAAAAAGTTTTAAATATCAACTTTTTTCTACTTGGTTGTTGCGCGAGGCCCCTCCAAGAGCGAGGCCCCGGGCGATTGCCCTGCTCGCCACCCCCTAAGGCCGCCACTGATTATATGCATTTAAAAACAAAACTTTAAAATAATCTAACAACAAAAATCACAGTTATTTGTCCTGTTTAATTTGATATAAAATAAGTGTTTGTTGATATAGATTTGATTATTTAAAATTCAAATTGCAAACAAAGAAATGCAAAAATAAATTTTAGTATTTTGTAATTGTATTATTTGAAAAATCTCTCAATTCTGATTGGGGAATTGTTTATTTTCATTGCATTTACCGTTTTCTATCATCTGACAAAGACTTGTGGCGATGTATAAAAGAAAATTTTAGTTTTTGGTTTGTTTATATGCCATTGTGGTAAATATGCACATTGACACTCCATAAAAATTGCATTAAACTGAATAATCAATGTTTTTGCTTATTTCCTTATTTGCATTTATATTTAAAAAAAACTACACATTAATATAATTAATAATACTTGTAATAATTCTGATGAAAAGAATGGTAGGAAAATCTTTTGTTGCAAAAAAATTTTATAAAATTTGAAAAATGTAAATTTTTATCTTGAATTTTTATCTTAAAATTTTGCCAATAGATGGAGCAAGGAGTATGCTAGGTAAAGGACAATAGCAAGGTTATGAGAAACCTATTAGTATAATGCAGTTGTGGACAAAAGTCAGTCTTGTATCTGACACCAGGGCCAAAAGTGTTAATGAGATATTAATTATTCTCACCCTGCTATTACTACTAAAAAGGGTACACTTCCTATTTGCTCATATTTCCATAAGAAAATGTGAATAATCACATAAGTAATCATTGTAATTAATAACACATTAAAAACCCATGCCAAATAAAAATTTGAATTTACACATTTTACCTCACTGATAAGTATACCAATGGCACACATGTAATCTACATCCTTCCTCTTTCTCTTCCCCATCATCTCCCCCTTTCTTCAACCCCCCTTAACTCCTTCCTTCCTCTCCTTTGCTGGCTATGCCTTTCGGTGCGGCCAGGATCTATCAACTAACTATACCACAAGGATCTATACTTAATAACTTGTTTGTTTGTAGCCTACATTATTAAGTCCTTTTCTCAAATTTCCTCTTCCTTTGTAAACATCTATGCTGACAACACAATACTTGTTAGCACTTGTCACAACTTATTGCAAAGTGATATTAACAAACTGAATGCTTCATTTAAGAAACTTAATTTTAGTTTTACTAGTATTAATTTGTAAATTATGATTTACAGCCTTGTTAAAGTTCATTTTTACAGAACTTTTTATATTAATAACCACATTTTAGATGTAGTTGATACTGTTCAGGATCTTGTTGTCTTTGATTCAAGACTTTCTTTTAAATTTCATATTGAACTATTAACTTAAAAAAATCTCAATCCATAAGAGCATGTTGTGCAGAAATTTCAGAGTAATTTCAAGTAAAAGTAGACTATACTTCAGGCTTTATTTTTTACTAATATACAAACCTTTACCAAATCAGAAAAGTTGGAGTGCTGATGAATGATATAAATTAGTCAAACCTAATTTAGCTGATACCCTCACCAACCATAAAAAATTAGGCAAACAGATCTGTGTTTTTGCAATAGGAAATTCCTGATAAACCACTTTGCCATCTATCAATCCTCCATAATCTGCCAAAGCCTGCACAAACATGCATTTTAATATTGCTTTTGTTTTTGTTTTCAATAATTCACAACAGGTGCAGGAAATGAAGTTTGACCTACATGTAAATCACTTCAGTCTGATAACAACTTGTTAAATTTCCCTGATGGTTCTTATCAATTACTTTTAATCCAATAATGTCTGAGAATCTATAAAGCCATTGAGAAACATTCATTAAAAGTCTTATTGTCACACATTTGGAAAGAGATAGTTAAGGGCACTATCTGATGTTGAAATGTTAAAAAACTTTTATGGCACTCTGCAAATCCTTTCACAAATTTGTCAATCAGTCCCACAATAATTTTGTCACCTCAGTCTGTTTCTGGTTTTTGGTTGCAAAGGTGGTTTACTGTGAATAAAATGATGTCAGGAAAGATGAGACAACCCACACTAAAAAAGAAGCCAAAGAAGGGTTGTTGAAAATGCAAAGTTTTTGGAAAAAATTCCAATAACAGTGGTGTAATGTACCATATCATTGCACTGGACAACATGCTCTGAAGAAGCAACAAATGTTAATTGACCACTTCTTCAACCCCAGTAATTAAAGATAAGACATTACACACAAGGTATCTTTTTATGACATATTTATGGTAATGCAGTAGACAATTCAATCTGAGCATAAGGAAAGTATATAATCAATGCATTTTTCCCCCTCTGTTATACGATGCACATAGGCTATATAATTTGAGTGAAAATGATAACATTACCCCCAAAAAAAAAAAAAAAGTAATTTTTCATTGTTTAATTAAAACAACTATTTTACATATTTAAAACTCACGGAAGAAACAAATGTCTTCATACTTCTGCCATGTTCAATCATGAGTTTTAAATATGTAAAATACTGTTAGCCACTTTAATTGAACCATGTAATTTTTTTTATTTAATTACTCACTTTTCAGGTTGTCACCAGAGGACGTTTTAAACTGTTTTCACATAATTTTGTAGTCTGTAATAAAAGGTCATCTGTGCAGGGAACTGTTCCTTGTGATTAGACATGGCAAAAGTATGACAACATTTTAATTTTAAATCATTTTTCATTTTCTCAGTATACCTTATGTATATTCTCAGTATAACATGCTTAATTTATTGCAGTATACTGTGTAATACATGAAATAAACTTATTTTTTCTCCATGCAATGTTATAAACTTTTTCTGATAGACCACCAATCTCACTAAACCTTCAAATTCATGATCGAACAAACAGTGGCTTCTTACAAGATTTGACTGTACTGATAATGCTAGCATGCAAATTTAAATTTTATGCAGGCACCAAACCAAACGAGTTTATATACAGTAATACCTCGACTTACGCAAACTTGGAGTTACGCGATTTTCAAATCTCGTCGATTCGTCTTTTGTTTGAGCGCCACGCAACTTTTGATTACTCACTCCCCCCCACACTATTGTCCGGCTTACATGTTTGGACGTGTAGCGCGGAATCAACGCATAGCTACAATTTATTTTGTGTTATTTATTTCTGTGTTTGTTATATCTACGGAGACTCGAGAGACTCTATGTGGTGATTTCTTGTAACAGTGAATGAATCAAAAGACAAGATAAGATTAACGAGAACATTTATTAGCTTACATACGTCCGACTTGGATTTTACACAAATTGCGAAATTATACCCCGACTTACGCGAATTCGACTAATGCGGTTATCTCTCGGTCCCACCTATCGCATAAGTTTGGGGTATTACTGTATCTTATGTGAACTAAATACTAAAAAAACTTAATTTTTTCATACTCACATGAGAATTTCTTGTAAGACATTAAAATGCATAGAATGTTTGTAAAACTAAAGATGTGAAAACAGTCATTTATTTTGCAACTGTGTATTTACACTCAATAAAAATTATATGTAGTTTATATTGTAGTTAACACAATATTACACTTTACTCTGATCTTAAATAGTTCAATAAATCATTGTAGAAACAATGACATACAGTAGAGCCTCGATTATCCGACCCCCTATCAACCGACCCCTCGGTTAACCGACTGTCCTAGTCGGCAAATTTCAAATGTCCGCTATTGATGTGNTAGTAAAAATTGTAAAAAGCAATAATTTTATTGTTAAAAGTACATTGAAATTCTTTTGAGTTAGGATATTTATTCCCAATTCTTATATTTCAATGCAGCTCTTCTTTCTAATTCATTATGAATGAGGAAATAAAATTATTAAAATTTGAGTATGCAACTTTCTTTTCTTGCAAATTGAATTTACTGTATACTGAACTTGGAAATCCTTTTTCTACTTGGAAAATGTTTCTCAAAAGTTTAAATATCTGAATACTGGGAGGAATATTAATTTAACAGAACAGTACTTGATAATGACATCAAAATTTACTAGTACCAGTTTAACTTTGTATTTTTATGCATATAAAGACTGTCCAATTGAAAATATCACACTAATGTCTTTGTAAAAAACTTTAACAATACCAAAACAAATTTATATTTGAGGCAGTGTTAGCAGAGCCTCTTCTATGTAGATTACAAAATTGTTTCCCTCCTCAAAATCTGATTAATCAATTATGACTTTAATTGCAATGAGGAATCCAAAATATCATATAACCAAGAAAGATCATGTGATTTTTCTAAGACAAAATTAAATCATCATAAAAATAAAATAGATATTTTATTCTGAAAAATAAACATCACCACAATTAATAACTTTTCCCCAATGAGAAACAAGTTTATAAATTTATCTATACTAATATTATAAAGAGGTAATGTTTGTAAGTTTGGATGCAGGGGGTAATCTCTGAAACTACTCATCAGATTTCAAAAAGTCTTTCACCAATACTTAGAATGGAACTTCAGGGTGGACATAGTCTGTATATTATTCCAGTAAATATTCATATAAGATATCATCTAGGTTAAGGCTTTTATGTCCAAAGATGGCGCTACGAGTACGACGACCTAAGTTTGCTTTTCTGTGAGGCATTATGCTTTTCTGTGAGGATGAACTAAAGCAGATCTTCTTCTATCTATCTATATAAATAAAAATGTAATGTTTGTTTGTTCCTATCGATTCCTTTGAAATTCTGACACTACGTTGTATTCGAATATGCACATGTTTTTATATAATATACATGTCGAAATTCCTCCCACTGGGGGGAGATGGTTAGGATTAAGACTTACCGTAAAGAACTCTGCTTCTATTATACTATTTTAGATGTGGTTTTTTGCGTTTTTGATTGTGTTTTAATAGGGTATGTCAACAGAATATACACTAAAAAGGGATTTTTCAATATTTCCCCCATGGGGAAAGTGTTATACTAGATACATTTTGAGCCACAACAACGCATGGCGGGGTCTGCTAGTTCTTCATAAGTGCTTAGCACCATAAAAGGAAATTTATAAAGATCTTTTAACTAAAAGCAAGAAATCTAAAATAACACATTTTTTGCAAAAGGTAAAGCATGGATCTGAAGATAATGCAGAAAAATGCGCAGAGGATAAGGATATCTTGCCAAAAAGAAAACGCCTTTGGTTAATAGTGCTTAGTGATGACGAAGAAAACATTGTTTAATTTATATTAATATGTATCACTTCTTAAGAAAATTTTAATAAAGATATTTATCTTAATTATGAAAATATAATAGCATGTTTTTTAATTTTTGGAACCTAACCTCCCCTTTTGTACTAGTTCTTTGTTTTGTTGAAAAGTGTTTGTTGGCAGCTATAGTGTTGTCAAATGCCAACAGAAACGTACAGACATTATCTTAGGTTTTGGTGCAGTAACAATCATTAACCAAAAAAAATACTTGATATCCAAATAAAGACATTTGAAATATTTAAAAAAAATAATCACTGAGTAAGAAATGACAGCTTGGAAGACAAGCTCCTAAGAAAAAAAATTTGACTCTTTTGTAAAAATAAGCTTGGCTTTTTGAAGTGGTACAAGAGTTTTAGCTATACTGTTTTCTTAAGCTTGTCACTTCAAAGCAAAGCAAAATGTATCTTCACCATAAAAAAAAACTTGACTATTAACAAAATTGTCATAATTTTACTTGGTCCAAGTTCTTTACAACTCAGATGTTTTTGTTTGGTTTATAATTTCCTGTATATTCACTTGAATTTTACTTTATTAATATTTGTATAATTATAACTTTCCTTGTAATTTTAAAATTTGAAAATGTCCACAGATGTTCACACTGTCAAATGCATTTGTTCTAATACACTTACTAATTTTTACAGCTAATGTCCTTATAACAACAACAAACATTACTAAATNATGTCGAATGGTGACACTCGGTAAGTAATCCTACAATTTTTTGTTTATAGCGTAGTTTATACGGATTATTCCCAAAAAATATATACGTATTTTGGAAATGTTGAGTCGGATTAGTCTAGAATCGATTAATTTTATGGAAGAAAATCTTTCAAACAGCCGTAGTCCGTAAACTTGATACGTGTCGGGTTGTGATTGGAAGGATTCGTAAGAAAGCGGATTCCTAGAGAATGGAACGTATCTCTATCTTATAGGGGGGGTCGACTGTATGTAATTAATGATCATAGTAGTAACTTTATATAACCAGAAATTTTTTTGGTTAACTGATATAATAAAAAACGGGTGTCCATAACTTTGTTTATAGAAATATAATGTTGCTAGCATGAGTACATGTGACAAAGTGACATTGCAGAAATTGAATGACAAAGCAATATCATGCATTATCCCAAAGTTGCTAGCACATCTGTGTGGCTTAAGTTTGTTCTCAAAATTTGTTGGGCCGAGTTTGATGCTTTGCTATTTTCCATTAATTGCAATGAGGAATCCAAAAATGTAATAAAAATTGGTGGTCCGTGATTTTGTTTCAGATATGGTAGGGTCAAAGTGACAATGTCCATGCTCTATGATGCAACTGAGTACACTTAACCAAATTTAGGGGGCAAAAATAAAAAGAAGCATTGTGCACACCTAATGGAAAATTTGTGCAAAAAATGAACAAAACAGGACAAAGCAATTGGCATAGACCAGGGGTCGGCAGTTTGTCAAGTGAGAAGAGCCAAATTGTCATGAAAACAGGATAACAAAAGTACCAGAGAGCCGCATATTAATTTAAATGTGCGAAATATGACTCACGACAGAGGCGCCTCTAGTGGCCGTTTTCGGCATAATGTTACACGGATGGATGGACACGCGTTCAATAGGTTATATATATAGATATGCTTCAAATGCTACCACTCTTATGCAAATCATATTGATCAACGCGAGTGTGGTCATGTGCGGACGGAGAACAAGTCGAAGTTTGTTCGGCGGCTCTATCTCATAAACTCATAAGTTATAAAGCTGCGGTGAAATGAGGTGAGATGAAATTGGAGTTTATTTCCGAAGAGCTGCAAACGTCTATGCAAAGAGCCACATGCGGCTCGCGAGCCGCTAATTCCAACCCCTGGCATAGACTATTAAATCACCTCTCTGTGGTGGCAAGCATAAAGATCACCTCTTCTGTCTACAGCAGGTGTAAGGATCACAGCTTTCTTTCTGGCTCTGCCTCAATTCTATCATAATATGATAAAGTTGGCAATGTCCCTATCCTAGTTTAAATTTATGTGAAGTGTATCTGAGTTTTAGTACAAAAGGGATCAAAATCAATTCATGGAAGATTAGAAAGGTAACAAATGGGCTGCATTGGAATTGTCCATTTATCTTTTTTTGTTACTAAACTAGTTCGAAAGCTAGTTTTACCTCCATTTTTTTGGCTACAACTTCAAATACCAACTGGACACTGAATTCATGAGGGGTTTGTAACCATGTAATGTTCAATTCCTCCCATCCATCAAGGATTGCAGTTGTCAAATCTGCAACAGTGGTGTATTGCTTACCTATAAAGTTTATGGCATAAATCACCACCTAGATCCTCAACTGGGTTCAAGTCAGGCAAACAAAATGGCCAATTCTCAAAGAATATTCTTGTACATAAAGAAGTTTCTGGTGGACTTTAAAATGTTACATTGTCTTGTCAAAGACAAAGTTTGATCCTGCAATCAGTTTTCCAAGTAAAGTTGAGGTTCTATTTGGAGTTTTTTTTACCTTTAATGACTACTAGATTTATGAGCCCACTGTAGCTAAATGCCTTCCAAACTATCATTGATTTGCTAATTAAAACCTATTTTGAGTAGCCCATCAGTATTTGTAGCAGTAGGGACCATCAAGATTGAATTTCTTATTGGAAAAGCTAACTTTATGCCAATAATTAGTATTAAAGAAATGATCAAGGAATTCCATATGAGTTTTGAATTCAGCAGGGGAACAGATCTAATTTTGACCAAATGTATATTTTTACAGCAGTTAGCACACACTGTGGATGGTAGATTGACAAACAGACAATGAAAGTTCTTCCTTGATTTTTCAACTGACTTGTTCCCTTTGATGGCAAGTCACAAAATGGCATACTTCTGATTATTGGTTACTTTGCTCTTGCATTTGTTGAACTTATCAAAGCAGCAATTTATGTTGGTGTCTTTTTCATCTGGAGATTAAGTTTCAATTTCTTTCTCAACATCTGTCAGATCCTTCTTGTTACTTTGCATACCAATTTTGGTCATGATTAGATTAACTGTTAACGAAATAACTGCAAAAACCTCAATGTGATATTTCAATTGGATAGACTTTAAAGTAACTAATTTGTTGTGGACACTGCAAATTGTGACATCAGAGAAGTATGGTAACAGTGTAGTTTTGTTATGTTTTTGCATGCAGCTCTTAATTCAAAAAATTAAATTCCCAATAATAAATATAGTGACAAACAGGTTTTAAATAAAAACAACAAATTAAATGCTCTAGTTAAACAAATATAAACTTAGACAAACACAAATTAAAATGATTTGTTATAAAAAAAACACAGTATATACAGAATATATCGTACCTGGGAATAGGAACATTTTTCAGTGACGGCTGAATCAGGAACACAGTGCTGTTCAGATACAAAAAAATAAAATGTGACAAAAAGAAATAAAATAAAGAAATCAAATTAAAAAATAAAAAAACAGAGTAAGTAACAATTATTTAAATTTGTTAGGGTATCTCACTCATTTTCATTAGAATATGCTTACAGTAGAACCTTTAAGCCATAACAGAGGTTTTGCACTATCTGTGGCAAACTGTAAGCAAATACACTATTTTTCTTATAATTCATAAAAGTTTTGCCATGAATATACTAACATGTAGATGTTGTCATATCATCCTGGCATACTCTTTCCAACCTTCACGATATGTTGATGCTGCTATTGCTGCCCTTATTAGAAGAATGTTCTTATTACCATCAATGCAAGTGCTTGTTAATATTGAGTTAAACACCTTCAATTTGGTGCACACAGCTGATTTTTCATGTGGTAAGTTCATGCATGTGCATAACATGATTAAGGAATCTCTATTTCCAAACACAACATTATGCAATAAGGAGGAGATGTCAGTAGTTCAACTTCCATCACTGTACCTCAAACCCTTTCCATACATTCAGGCAACATAACTTTCTCTTGCCCCTATCTCCCCTACCAAATTTTCACATACCCATCTGCAATGATAAAAATAAATTCTCCACTTTTGAAAAACCATGAATCTATGCTGTACCATTGGAGAATCTCATAACGGCAATGAACAAGGTATGTTGGGGCCACAACACAAATGCTTGTAGCAGCCTAGCCAAGCACCAGGATGATGTGGTGAAAGGAAAGGATATCACAGAGCTTGCGAAAAAAGGTGTTTAAAGAGAACTACAATCTCATTATGAGCTCAAATAACACTACTCAGATGACCAGAAACTTGTATTTATATGGGAATCTCTGCTTACAACCTTGGAGCCATGCAACTTAACCTGCCCAGCTTGTGGATTGCCCTACTTAACTTGACCTGCACTTGACCTGCCCAGCATGTGGATTGCCCTATATAAACAATTAAATAGTAATATACATCTGCTATCACACATTTAACATGGGTCTATCCACACACATGCTGCATGATGTCATAACATCTAGTGTAATCAAACTTTGTAGCAAGCTCACAAGTTTTTTAATTTTAATTTTTAAACATGTTCCACTTATATTAGAACAGTGTATTCTATTTTTAATTTTTCATTTGCCTGACAATAATGAACATAAGTTTGCTGAAAGCATGAAAGCACTAATAAAAATAAAAAGCTGTTAACACTGCACTCAGTATGTCTTTAATTCCTAATGCTGTAAGTTTGTAATTTATGCAAATATCTTTATGACATTTGGTGTGTAAATACTTTAATATATCTGTTACATTTGCCAATTGTTAAAAGTTTATAGTAATAATATTTTTGTGAATTTGATTATATCAGGATCAGAATAATTTTCACATAACAATTACAAAATATTCTATACTTTTGTTCAAGGATTGTATAATCAAAGTATATTTTAAATCATTATTTATAGGCAGAAGTTGGAGATTCTAAAATTCTATAACAAGGAGTCTAGGGCTTGGTGCTACAGATTCTATAGAGACCAGATTTACACATCCACAGTTTATATATTATATACAGAAAGATGATATGATGATAAAATTTCAGCAGAATAATAACTAAACAAATTTCTATGAAAGATCATATATTCTACATTAAACAACATTCATAACATGCAGAGATCTTCATCATATTTTGTAAATAGCCTAGGATTATACACTTAAGTCAATAAAATAGAAGTATTTAACAATGGAATGTGAAGAGTTAAACTCTTCAGTTATAAACAAAGGTCAAATTAATCTGATCAAATTTAACTGTTAATGCAACTATTTAAAATGAACCAAAAGGATTCCAAGACAATACATCTTTTGCATTAAGAAAAAAAAATTCTGTGTTTTAAATATTGCTATTTTGATCCTGTAGAAGTAAAGAAGAAAATTTCAGGCATAAATTTCAAGTGGAAAGTGCTGTTCTATGACAAGAAACTAAAATCATAAATATAAAACAAAATTTTTTTGTGCTTTTGTAACAGCTAGTGACATCAAATCAAGGACATCCAATTTCTCAAGTTCTTCAAGGAATCAGCATCTTAGCTGATAACAGATTATTTTCCTAAATGTCCTCTTTTTCAAAAACATTTTAATTCTGATATTGGGTTAATTATTATGAATATAATAATAACTATTAAGTTTCTTAAATCAAGATTGCAGAACATTTATTTAGAAACTTGTAATAGCAATTATTTTTAAACCTAAAGTTGTCCTGACAATGCCTGCTAAACATGAATGAAAATGTTTGCTTTCTTGTACTTTCTTCTTGGGGATTATTGCATATGTGTAGTGTCGATTAACTTAAAGTTATTTGACATTGTGTATATCACTTTTTTAAAACTTAAGATTTTATCAAAATTGCTTAATTTTCATTTCTTAAAAATATATTCAAAAATTAATAATGCTTCAAAATTAAACAAATATGAGACCACCTGGCTTAAGTTTTAAGAGGCAAAGACAGGATCTTCTGTCTATAAACTCAAAATAAGAAATTTCAAAAAGAAGCTAATTTAGATGATAATCAGCAAATTAATTTTTGATATGGTCATTATATAACAAAATAGAAGACATGGATAAAATAAAATCAGTTGGCATTATGCAATTTTTATCATTTGATGTACACCACATAGAAATTGTAATAAATCATGAATAAAAGTATCATTTTTCACCACTTCATCTAATGAACCTTAAAATCTTAAATTATGTGACAACTTACTTCTATTCTTTATATATTGACTGACATTTTAACTGATTTAAGTGAAACAAATAAATAATAAACAAAAGAGTATTTATTAGGACTAAGGGACATCATCACAAATACCTTTTTTTCAGTAATCTCTCTTAACAACAAAACCTTATAACAGTTGACTTATACCCAAGAAAAAATAACTGCAAATATTAAACCTGAAAATTATCTTAACTGTCCAGAAAAATCACATCATTTGAACAATTTTTAAACAATTTGACATCAACAATTAGCCAAGTACCTCTTATTATATAATGTAAACTGGATTTAAAAGCAGGAAAATTTGAGCAACTTCTTTTCAAATGTCTTGAGAAAATAAATAGAAAAAATACAGATGAGAGAATCTTCTGATACATGAAATAAAAATTGAAAAAGTTTCATCTATATATGGAAAAGTCTCAATCTATACAAATATTTTTGGCTCATAGAAAATTAGAAACAAAATAAAATAAAATAAATTTTTCAAGTAAAAATTCCTGATAAGTCTCAGACAAAGATTTTAAGTCTTTTTACAAACCTTCCAATAAAACAAAAGAAAATATAAGAATTAATTCTTCTGGATAAATCCTTCTGAGAAGAGAAATAGCATTGGAAATTCTTTATACTGTGAATGCCAATCAAGAATAAGAACAAATACATAAAATGCCAACTCTGAACAAAAACAAAAACTATTTTTTGAAATTATTGCTGAAACCAAAGAGATAGAGTAGTGCAAGTTTTCATTTTTTATACACAGAAAAATTTTCATCAATGTCTAATCAGCAACTTTCAATCTAGTTACATTGTGTCATCACACTTCAAATTAGAAAAATGCCCAATACTGTTGTGGCTGGCACACGAAGAAACCAAAAGCTGATTAAATCTAACTTTGACACAATATTAATTAAATTAATTAACTCCTTAATAAGTTCTCTGGAGTATGTAAACTAAAAGCATACTAATTTTAACATCTTTTACTCATGTTTGATATTAGGTTCATATTAACTGTATTAGATGTAATTCACTTATTGGCATCTTTGAATCATATTTTACAACTTACAAATCAGTTAATATCAATTATGGCATTGACTAAGTTATTTCCTAATCTCTTCTTTGGAAAAATATCTTCTGTTGAAATTTATCATAAACTAAGGCAAAGTGAATGACCGTTGAACAAAAACAATGATAACCGCCACAAGTTTTGAGTTGCACCCAAAAGATTGTTTTGGAAATGTCTATCAACTTATCTCACTTTAAAAAAACACTTCATGTATTAACTAAATTATTACTGAATTTTTTTACAAGTATTTTATTGTCTTTTTCTCTGTCGAAACGACGGCCAATTTCATTACGTTACGAGAAACAAAGTTTAGAATCGCTCTTCTATTACTTCCCGCGAGAATAAAAAAAAAAAAAAAAAAAGAAACTTCATTAAATAGCTTGACGGCGCCGACGAGTAGATACGTTCGTGTCGGAAGGATGAGAAATATCCGCCAATAGAACGTCCGACGGGAAAACCAGAGTTTCCGTCCGGTTCGGAACTTTGATTTCCTGAAGTAATTTTAGTTAAAGTCAGAATCGCGATTTCGTTTTAACGATCGAATATTTACGCCGAAAGCTCGGATGCGCCCTCGACAACGCCTCTGCACGAGAACGATAAATTACATACGCCGATATAGTTTTACGAAGAACCATCGTTTCATTAATCGCAATTAATAATTATTATTAATCAGAAAAATATTTCGTCGATCGAATCGACTCTGAAGAAAATGACGTTCCGTCCTCGACGCAGCCAGACCTAAACGTCATCGTCCCTACGTAATCAGTGGACTGAGTCGTCTTAGCTTCGGTCGTTTGGCTGATTTGTCCTCGCACACTGATCTTTAGGCGCCGGTCTGTCTCGCTGGGCCGACGCGTCCGACAATCGATCCGTCACGATCGATGACGGAATGTCCGCGCGACAGAAATATTCTTTCGTGTCCGGCAAAGGGAACAAACGATGTTGCGACGGCCGAGCGTCTCGAATGACGATGAAAGAATATTTCCAGCGGCTTTAGGACGTTCCGTCGAGTTACAAAAAGAAATTCGTCCGAAGCGCCGAGGCGAAAGTGTCCGTCCGCCCGTCGCGGACGGTCGAAGGTCCCGGCCGCGGGCGTCTCTCCCGGTCGGCCGACCGCCGCCCGCTTTCATCCTCCGCCATCGGGGTCGACGCCCCCCACCGACGATCGGAGGATGTCTCCGTCAACGCCCATCCACGAGTTTCCCGCGAGAAACTTTTTCTGTCCGGAAGGATCTCTTCTCTCGTGCATCGCGAGAACTGGAGCGAGGACACTCTTCCAGCCAACGCCTTGGTCATTCGGCCGGACCGAATCTATTCCCACATTCTTTTTCGTCGCCCGAAAGCGGGCCACTCACCTTAGGCGGGGGCCTTTGGTTGGCGCCGCCGTCGGCCACGGTGGGCGACATGACGCGGCCCGATGCTGCTGTTGTCGCTGTTGCTGCGGATCCCTACGATCGACGACGCTTGCTTCCGGCGCTCTCCTTCCGTCGTAAACCACTTCACCCTTCGAATTCGATGATTTCTCCGACAGAAGGCGCGTTTCTTTTTCGCCCTCTGTCGGCAAAAAACCACAATCAATAGCTTTCGGCGTGGCTTACGTTATACCAGAGTCGACAGATATACTGGTCCTTGCCAATAACTCTATACTACAGTACTGTAGTTTAATAAATATTTCTGCCACTTCGATCGCTTCGATCGCGTATAGTCGTAAGTTCGGATGAAGCATAGAGAGAGTCAGCCGTAAACATTCGAAATTCTTTTAATATATGAAATTTTCTCGTTTTTAACTCAGATATTACTTTTGTTTTTTTTTTAAAGGACTACTTATAAATATTATTTTAATTCGGTTTTGAACATTAATTTTTCGTAAATGTCGTTAATATTTACATTTCTATTAACTGTCACTTTCACAATTTTAGACTTTAAATTGATCAGACGGTTTGTTTTGTTTTTTCTTACAATTTGTGTTCATTTTTGAATATTTTTGGGAGTTTTCGTTAAGGGCAAGAAAACGTAGTCAAAAAATTCATAATTAAACTTGTATATACATTATTAATATGGGATGTCTTCGGGATTCCCGAGAACTCTCTGAATCAAAGAGAAAAGGAAATGATGAGAATTATACATTTATTTATGGAAATGTATAGAAATGTTAAACCATGTGTTAAGATAGGATAGATTTAAAGCGACAAAAAAAATATAGGATTTAAGGTGGCTTTGGAGTTTATCAAGTGAGAAGAGTAAAGACAGTAACTTTATTTGAAGTTCCGATAAATATGCCAAAAAGTTGAGCGGTAGGCGTTGCAACACAAAGCATCATTCAACCTTCCGTTGTTTGAATAAATATGACTACATATTCCCTAGACTTTATTTATTTATCCTGTAGGCCTATGCCATCTTATTTATAAGGTAGAAAAATATAGCCCTGTACTCAGTGGTGATATTCGAAATATTTAACAAAGGGTTCGCTAACAGAAAATTTTTCCTTAACAATTTTTTTCGCTCAAATGGTTCATTAGCAACATTAGCGCAAAAACTGACCTTAAGAACCACATAAATAAAGATGCGTTCGCAAAATTAAGTCAGTTAAAATTTAACATTGTTTATGGCAGAACTATATTTTTTTGATAAATATT